TTATTTTATTTTATTTTATTTTATTTTATTTTATTTTATTTTATTTTATTTTATTTTATTTTAATTTATTTTATTTTATTTTATTTTATTTTATTTTATATTATTTTATTTTATTTTATTTATTCTATTTTGATGTTGTGAAAAAATTTAAAATTATATTTAGTACTTCTCTTCCCAACTAGACAATTTTCTCATTTTTTTGGCTTAAGAAAAAAGCTGGCAAGATGTTGATGTGTTTATTTTTTTCAATTAGAAAAGCACAATTTATGCTGTGAAATTTTAAACTATTAAGTCGAGAAAAATATTATACGAAATAAAAAATTAGGTTCGCCAATTTATTTTCTCCAAGTCCACCAATTGTAGACAACAGTGACCGACAGTGCTTTAATTTTATATATTTTTGATACTAAATCATTTGTATAACGATCTGCACAGTAAAGCTGTTGGTTTGTCATAAAGCCTAATGTAGCTATCTAGCTACCATTCGCCGGAATGTTTACTCAGCGCTCAGCCAAGCCACGCCATTAGTAGTTTGCACTTGAGGAGACTCATACGACATGTCGTCCCTTGAGCACAAATTTACTGCTCTTTTACCGTACCGGCAGCGTGCAGCGTATGGTATTTAAATGAAGACCGTTGAAAATTATTATTCTGCACTTCACCTTTACACATTGTCATATACTTGCAATGACACTGACGCATTTTTTTCTTTCGAAGTCCCTTTTTTGTGCCTTGCCCTTTTGTTATGACATTAAACTTTTATTACAGCTTAAATACATATGAATTCATTTAATATTTCTTGCACTTTACTAATATTTGCTTTTTGCCGCCTTTAATGCTGTTTTGCAGGGAGAACTGCACAAACAAGAACCGAACTATCAAGGTACACTCGCATTCACCAAAAACCGTTGTAGTCGTACGTATAGTAATTATGCATTTTGCTAAGTACGCGTGCACTTGTCGTTCATTGGTAACAACAACAGTAACGAGCACGGGCCGCGCACATTAAAGACATTTAATTTTGCTGCCATTTCTATTTCTACTTTTAGAAAAATCGAATTTTCCGAAAAACGTCAAGCGCCTTACTTCATATGTATGAGTATTTTATTCGAATTATGCACGAGTCGGCGGCTCGGCATAGACTAAAAGTGTGCGGCGTTCCAATGTTTGGTTGGCTGGTTGGCAGGTTGCGTGGCTGCTCGCTCAAGGATTGGGTAGGGAAGTGGAAGAGGTTGATGAGAGCGGGGAGAGGTGGGATATATAAATATCAATTGGTGAAATGGTAGCGCATGCAATGCTCTGCTTGGAGAGTGTGGCTGTGAGCGGAATAAAGGCATTACTTGGCAGCGCTGCCAAGAAAACAGGCAATATAAACACACTTTTGCAGCGATATACATATGTAAAAAACTACAGTGGGGTGCAACATTAATTCTATGTTTATTATTTTCAAAATATTTTAACACCAAGAATTTTTGTTATTTTGGAAATTGATAAATGATTAAAAAATTAAATCAAATCAACTATTAATCAATTGATTTATTATTTTTTTTTTATAAAATAATATTTACTCGAATAAAACAGCACTAAAAAATGTTCAGCTCCTTACTGTGCGTACGTAAGCATAAAAGCACTTTCGATTTTTGTTGTTTTTGCTGATTTTTGTATTTCCTTTTTTTGTTTTCATCAATAACAAGCTCGCAACAATTTTCTGTTGTCCCTTTCATGCTTCCAACGCTTGCCTGGCGCATTTACTACCATTCCATTCCATTCACTATGATTGTTTGCGTGTCTGATTAACTGTTTGTTGGCCAGCGCTCATCCTACAAATGTATTACTTGCGACCATACCATGTTCCGTTAGCTCTTGGTAGTAAATGTTAGCCTACTTGTCAGCACTGTCAGCGGCATTTCACGTGTTCGCGAGTGTTGTTATTTAAGGTGTGGGCCGAACATCAGTCATGCTGTGGGGTTGAGTAGGCGTGTGGAGTAAAATTAACTGACGGTAGGAAAACGTCAAAAAATGAACATTTAAGTGGGTTAGCTTGTAAGGCAATGCGCAAAGCTATCCTTATGTATTTAGCTATATGTATGTAGGGGATAATTCATTCATTTTGTGTTTTAGGTCAGTTTTTCCAATTCGTGTTCTCACTAGGGCAACGATAATTGCATGGTAGCTGCTATTTATATATACGAGTATATATAGATACAAATATATTTACTTTTGCTGACTTGTCGGAATTGCTCCTCCCAGTGAGTATATTCCATTCTTTTACTTTATTTAATTTGTTTTCAGCTTTTTTTATGGCGCATAGTCCATGTTGTAAGACGTAGCATATTTCAAGTAAACAACGGGCTCAGGTGCACCATTTAAAAAAAAAAAAAACACAACACAACAATATTCTGTTTATCCAAAAATGCGGTTCAACCAACTTGCTCGGCGTTTCATGTAACCGACCTACATTCGCTTAGCTTGAGTGGGACAGGTTGTGTATTTTTCTTGCGGTTATGAAACAAAACAAAAAAGTCATTTAATATTCCTTATTCGCGTTGAAATTCTTGATGTATTTAATGTAAATTAATTTTATTTTATTTTTTTTTATTTTAATTTTTTTTTTGTTATTTTCTTTTATATTTATTTAATTTTAATTTTATATGTTTTAAATTTTGCTTTAATATTTTATGTATTATTTTGTGATTAGTTTAGTGCGATTGGATTACGCTAGGTGGGCTTAGAAAAGCGATATTTTTTACTAAAGAATGCAGCGAAGAAGTGTTGGCCACTTAACTGCGGTGCAGGGCAGTGAGTCGACGAGAAAGCGGTCTTCAGATGTGGAAAGTTTTTTTGTACGTTTGATAAGATTGGGAAGGAGGCGTCACTATGAGCAGTTTCTCTGTGACTTCTCTTAATTCGACCCGGAAAGGAAGCACCCAACCTTGAATTTAGAGTAAAAATAATGGATTACTTTTTACTACATTTTTACTCTATTAAAAAAAAGGCCACTAAAAGTTTTATTTATTTCTAACTGAGCAATTATTATTTTTCTAATAAAAGAAAGTTTTTGGTGTAGTAAAAAGTAATCCATAAATATTGATTTTATATCAGCCAGGTATTTTTTAACATATACCAGGACCTGCCTCACATGTTTATATATTTTTTTCAAAGGAATCAAGCATTTCAATAATCATTACACACACTTGCGCTTATGGGTGCATATTAAACAAGTTTGCATATACAAATACAGATGATATTTTTCTCTTCTGAAAATGCTGGGCTGTGTGTTTTATTAGTGGAAACTTGGAACTTGGAAAGTTTCCACACGCGCAAACTTTCTTGTGGCTTGACTGAAACAGTCTCACGAATCTCTCACCGAGGTCCCATAGAAACTTGCATCAGCTATTACTTTTGGGCAATTTTGGTTATTTGCTATGAGCCACGCGTAAGTTTAAGTGCACACGAATGCCTTGGTGTTTGTTTGCAAGGTGAAACTTTGTTTGATAACATTTTATTAACTTTTGAATGACTCTAAGGTATAGAGTATCGAAAATTCCAGTTGTAGAAAAGTTTGATTAATCGGAGCTTTGGTTTATATAAGATTTAGTTTTTTATTTTTCTGCGCACTGGAGAGTATTTTAAACAAATTGCTTATGCTAATGATTTCATGACACAATTTTCTAATGAACTGATCATGCTGAGCTTGAATTTGTTCAAAAAGTATAGAAATCAGGGATTATAATCCACATTTAATAACTCATATATTAATAATTCATGTTAAGAATAGCTCAAGTTTATAAGAAATATTGGATGTCTAATCTTCCATCACAAATAAATCAGCTCTATTAGTGAACATTTTTTTAAATTTTAAAATTTCCCTCACAAAAAAAAAAAATAAAAAAATCAAACACCAAATATTTTTATCATCCAACACAAACAAAATTCTTTCAGTCAATAAGAAACAAACAAAAAATGCCTGTAAGAATTTGTTCACAGCATGGTCTAAACGCAAACTTTTTTGACGAGTCCATAATATTAAGTAATTGGAAAAAGGGGTAAAAATAACAACAGAAAAGAATACATTAAGATATAAAGCAAGAACAGAAAGAAACATTTTTAGAAGGGTCAAAAGTTTAAGGCGCGTCTATCGCTAAAAATATCTCAAAAGTAATAACAAATATTTGTATATGTATAAATAAGTAAAATATGTAGAAAAATTTGTGTGGGTGCATCACAATCCGTCTCTAATTATAAATTATTACAGAATTTTTACCTAAGACAAAATAAAATAAAGTGAAATAAAATAAAATAAAATAAAATAAAATAAAATAAAATAAAATAATTATTTTATTTTATTTTATTTTATTTTATTTTAATAATAAAATAAAATAAAGTAAAATAAAATAAATCAAAATAATATAATATGAAATAAAATAAAATAGAATTAAAAAAATTAAAAAAGGATTGAAATTAAATTAATATGAAGCTAATTAAAAAATAATAATATAATACCAAATATATTTTGAAAGGAAAATAAATAAAATAATTTAAGTAGAAATAAAAATATATATATATATCTTTTTATTAATGTTCTGTCCTTTTAGCCAAAAACTGAACATCCAAGAATGATAATACTTCATTTCAACGTTTTCTATTATTCTATTTAGTCCCATCATGTCGATATACCTATGCATCCTTTACAACAGTTAACCAACTTAGTGAATGGTATATCCTCTTCCGTAGTCACATATAAAAATGTCAAAGCTGAAAGCGTAGAATATATTATATGGATGATTTATGCATGCAAAAGAGAATGACAATGTAGTAACTGCCACTGTCGCCGTTGAAAAAAACCCGACTCACGCCCACCCACGCTCACAACTGCTCTGCGTAAATAATGGCAAGCCATGGCGTATGAGTGACATTTTTTTTTTCCTTTTCATAGTGCACAGTTAAAATCTGAATAAAACTGCGAAATTGTTCAAAATTGTTGCTAGAAATTTACTTACTTGTAGCCGAGTGCGCCATTCTTCAAATTGTTGCCAACAAAATTTGTATTGTTGCTGTAGGGCAGTAGCGGTAGTTGTTGCAGCTGTTGTTGTTGTTGTTGTAACATTATTGTTGGCATTGCTATACTTGTGTGAGTATTTAAATTCAAATTGACATTTGTTGCTGTGGCTGTTTTTGTTGGTGTCGCTGTTGCTATTGTTGTCGGTGTACTTAGCGCATCGCCTGCTGCGTTTGTTGTTGTTGCCGTTGGGTTGACGGCAGTTTGTTTTTGGTAAGCTACTGCAGCGTTGGATAAACCATTACCACCCCCCGTCACACCAACCCCCACACCAAGCACAGCCTCAGCGCTGGCGGCGTTTTGTGGCATAATAATCGCTTTGTCGGCCGTTTCTTTCGACACTAACGGTATATCTAACTTGTCTTCATCCATTTCCTACGACTACTTGGCAAGCGTATTAGGGGTTTTATTTATTTATTCTACTACTTTTTGTCTAAGTAAATGTTTTTGTGAGCTTGTGGTTTTTCTCAACTTTAATTCATTTATGCCCTTTTTTAGAATTTGCTTTGATTTGTCTCGTCTCAGCTGTCGTTTAGCTTACATGACTTGTTTTGAGTTCTGCTGAAAATTTCTAACATTGCCTTTAACGAGTTTTGCCTTGTTCGTCTTCTTTGTAATTTATTCACTTTTATTGTTATTTCTCTTCACTTCATTTTTTTGTTTCATTTTCCGCAGCATTTATCGGGCGTACTTGGTATTGCTTTTTCATTTTTTTGTCGTGTTGCGGAAAACCGTCATGTACATTAGACTAAATACATATTTACATATGTCTGTATTTGATTGTGACTTTAAAAGATTTAGTCTTTTAAATTTTTTTCCCAATATTTATCACACTGAGAGGGATTAAATGTTGCTGAAAGAAGAAGAAGTAATAAAAACATTAAATAATTACGAAATGGTAAAAGAATTAACATTTTAACCTAAACTTTATATTTATTCATTGACCAACAACCACGAGTTAGGAAATTAAAAGTAATCCATATGGTGATTTCTGAACTAATCTTTTTGTTTGTAACGCTAAACAATTTCCATTTTTAGGTAGAAAAATATAAATATATGGAGATTCAGTCAGATATAAAGTTTTACAGCAGTTTTTTTTTATTACTGGTACAACTCTGCGTATACGCAACTTTCTTGTAATTTTTAGTAAACTGTTCCCACTGCTGGCAGAGCTTTTGCTCTGGCAAAGTATTCAGGTGAAATAAAAATATTCTACTGGATACTGACACAGATAGCAAAAAACTATTTGAATTGAACCAAAGCGTAGACATGCGTTGCAGTTCGTTTGATTTTTGCCTTAGAAGCATAGAGGCTTGGATATTGGGTCGTAGGCGCCACCGTCTGCAGTTTACAGTTTTTCTTGTTTTTCTGTCGCTTCAGTTAAGCTTGCGATCCACCTTAAGGTATTTAACCTCTGTAGAGAGATTGATCTTTACCTTTTATTTGTATAAGTTTAAACGAAAGTGTATTGCACCTAACAGTGTAGCGTACCATTTCAAATTTAGTTATCCTTGAACCTTTTTGAAACTATGGACAATGCATTTTAAAGCTGACTTCCTCATCGCTGTAAAGACAATGTTATCCACGACACAGTTCCAAATTAATTAACAATGAAACGCCACAAAGACAATGCCAGGATTCTTCTTTGAGAGCTTCCTCTTGTGGAGTAACGTGTAAACCCACTGTATAGATCAGCAAAGGTTATCTGGTTCTTCAGATTACATTTTTTTGCTTGTAGGTCACTTAATACAACTTCGGTTAGGACATTCTTAATAGTTCCCTAAATATCGAGAAAAATTCCAAGTGCGTATTCCTTGAAGACAAGTACTTTTCCTATACATCGAACTACATCGCGTAGCGCTGTATCGGTAGATTCGCTTTTAGAGTAAGCATGTCAGTTTCCTAGGCGTTGTTCGAAGGTAAATTTTTCCGTATATATAGTTGCCAAACATGCTCTCAAATATTTCTAGAAGAAAGCCCTTGGACTCACGTGCTTGATACGAGCTCTTTTTGGTATGAAGACAAAAGTACCCCTGTCTTGGAAGATGCTGTATAACAGTCGAGATAAGATTCTTTAGTCACCTGCGATTTACCGGTAAAAATGCTCATTTTGGAGAGTTGTAAATTTTGGAACATTTTATTTCTAATTATTTTTTTTTTTAGTGTCAGACGATACAGCCAATATCCAAGACCAATAGTCAACAAAGAAGAGGGTGGCTATTCTGTGGTTGAATTGCAAATGAATATTTGAGCAGATTCACTAGAAATAGTATTTTTTAAATAGCTCAATTCGGGTGCGGAAATCAACTATCGATTTTAAATTCCACAGCTGCAAGTTAACTTGTATATTAATGTTTGTAAAAAGGAAGTTATTTTGATTTTGAATATTAAAATCCAAGTCTTCAAATTTGGCTTATTGTGAATAATCAATCGATGAAGGTATTTCTGGTAAGGTCTTTTTATAATAATTTTTCAACTTCTAATTAACAACCGACTTGTTTAGATTTTTTGGTTCAGAAATACGTAAAAAGGGCCTTCGAGAGTTTGCAGTTTTACTTTTTTCACAAATACATGCATAACAGGCATTGACACCGATTCTCATCGAAATCAGTAATCAAATTGTTATTAGATATCGAACTACAATTTAATCCTAAATTGAAAAATCATAAGTTTTTGGATAGCTCTAGTGGCCGATTTTAAACTAACAAGTAAAGTGAAGGTTAAGTGATAAGAAAAATATAAATAAAATTATATAAAACTAAAAATAGACTTATGTGGATAATAACTTTAAGAGAGCCCTCTGAGCAATTTAGTTACACAATATTATTTGCTCATGCTGCTACTCTCTTCTTAGAAAAATGAAATATATATTCAAAAATTTTGCTAGATAAGGTTTTACGCGCTTTTTTTATATTTTTTTTAATCATTATTTCGGTTTTTTTTCTGAAAGTTTACTTAATTTGATTTAATCAAATTACAATCAAGCTTAATTATGTAGACAAATAGGCATCATATACTATATACATACACATACCTATACGTATGAATATGACATTTGTATACAACTTTAAATTCAGCCCTTCTTCGCTCATCGCTTACTTCATTTGGCACTTGAGCTTGGCTGTCAAACGCTAATTGAATAGCTAAATAGTTGAGAAGCAAAGCGTTGTTTGTCGACATACACATACTCGTACATACATACATTTCTTGTCTTCGTCGCTAAACGTTACAAAATCATTATGCCGTAATAGACTACATTCCAAAAAAATCATTGAAGGTCAAGAACAAATGTTTAATAAAAAACAAAAAACAAAAAAAAAAAATATATAAATAATTAGAAATACATATATAAAAGGTTGACAAATGTGTATGTGATTAAAATTTATATGTAATAGTACCGACAAGAGCACAGTTTCTTTTGTGCTTGAAGCTTTCTGATATATGGCGACGAAGCTTAATGGAGAGCGTAAGAGGGGAAGAAATACATATGTACTCGGACTAATGCATGCTGTTTTTTTTTAGAAAAAGAACAGTGTTCAACGCAAAGGAACATTTACTGATAAGGAATGCCGATGGAATTCTTAGAAATTAAAAATTTATTTAATAAGAGATGTGGACTTTGCACTTGTATATATGTATTCTTTCTTTTTTACCTCCACCCATTCGTGCTGTTCTGAAATATATGCGTAGGCGCTTAAACGTGGAAACAATTGGCAATCATTTGTGGCATGCGATTTTGCATGAATCCACCACACACCCACGAGGAAAGTGTAACTTTTTAATATCACTTTCTTGCCACACAGGTATATATATTTGCGAATATGTGGGTGTCGGTGTATATCCAACATCGCTCTCTGTTAACATTAACAACGAAGACCTGATCCAACAATTTAGCGCGTGGCAAAGCTAACGATTTTCCGTCCGCCTTTATAGCCTTATCGCGTATCTGGTTATTAAAAAATATAACGCAAAATTAGCACATCGCCTTTGTAGTGTGCGTGTAAGATGTAAGTCACAAACCCAGTCAAAGTGTCATATAAAGCAAAGATATTTATACAACCACTGTCTGTCTGTAAAACTGAAGGGCTGTCTTTTTCTCCTTCAACTGATAATATTTAATTTACTGCAAACTTTCTCATATTTTATTCACTTAAATTATTGTATAGTGGAATTTAATTTTTTCATAATAATTGAAATAATTCAGTAATAAAATTATATTTATAAGTAAAGTATTGTATATAAAATATAAAATAACCTAAAAAATAAAATATAATAAATCAAAATAAAATAAAATAAATTAACTGAAATAAAATAAAATAAAACAAAATAAAATAAAATAAAATAAAATAAAATAAAATAAAACAAAATAAAATAAAATAAAATGAAATAAAATAAAATATAATAATAAATATAAAATAAAGTATATAAACTAAAATAAATTAATATATGTAAAGAAGTATAAAATAAAATAAAATAGCATTAAATAAAATAAAGTAATAAAATGATTTAATAGAACGAAAGAACATAAAATAAAATTGGCCAACTAATTACCAAAGCAAATTTTCACACTTTTTTCCATTTTGGTGCCTATTTGTCTCTATAAATCACAGTGTGTCAGCTGAAATGATAAATGGACAGTTCGAAATTTCTGTTTTTTTTGGCTTTATATCATAGAACAAAGAAACATGTGATTTAACTAAAAACTCTGTTAGGAAATAAAGAAAAAATAACTGTTAATCAGTACGTACATTTTATTATGTTGCTTTTGTCTGGGATAGTTCCTAAGTATTTGCATGTCTGCTGATTGCCTGCCCTTCATTAGAGGCTTGCAGCATACTTATATGAAACTTGTTTGGTCATTTGATGTATATGAAAAATTTTTGCTTGTCTCTCGTTTGAATTTGCCTAAGCATCCCGTGAGATTTTTAAATATTTGTTGTAAAACTTTTCTGCAATAAAAATGACTTTCATTTGCTAACCATGGAATGGCTTATTCCTTATAATATATATAAAAGAATTTCAAAAGTTAAACCAATAAAATATTAGTTCAAATTATATCGCCAAATTAACTTTATTTGCGATTTCGGCAGCATAAATTCACGAATTTCTTGCTTGTCACTGTGCAGTGTTTTCATACACACACATACACTCATATGTATGAACGCAGATATGGTTGCTTGTCAAAAAGTTGTGCTATTTTTATTACCAACCGAAAGAATGAATTAGCGTGTCTGTGCCGTCTACTGGCAGTCGTTCAAATTTTCTGCATACCCACACTATTGTTGCTTTAAGTGCAAGTGTACTTAGAGCAGCGCAAAATTCCACACACACATACGAGTACACATGATGTTTTATGTATCGGTGGAAATAATGTCATTTTCGAAATATTTAAATTGCATTCAATACATTTTTGCTTACAAAATTTATTTTATAAAAATTAAATTGGTCATGTATTAAAAAAGTAATAATTAAAAATCCTACATATTTACTTTATTCGAATTCTTTTTATGAGTTAAAAATTTCCATTGTTTGCCTTTCTATTTTTGAAATTCGTTTTATTCACCTGCTTTGAAATATTACCCACCAGCGCAGTTACAGTTATCACTTTCATTTCCAGCCATAATTCAGGAAGTTGAACATCCGTTATTCGCTGCTATAAATAAGTAGTAGCAGGAAATGCTTACCGTTAGCATTTTTCTTTAGCCACAAATGAGCTACATAGATGTCTCTAAGGAGTCAATATTGGCATTCCAATGGCAGCTGAGAATGGCAAAAGGATTGACTGTCACTCGAAATGTGTGCAGTTGACCCTGACCTCATTTCAGCTTCTATGTGATGTTATAGAATTATTTT